ATCCTTTCATTTTACTGCAAGTCTATTAGACTCTCTGTAACATCTCATACACATACTGTACGTTCAAAACATTTTTGTGTTATTCATGGGAAGAAAAACACACTTCTCTTTTACTAAAAGTAATAATGGGATTTGTATGCAGACACGTGCCGTAATGATTCATGTAAATGTTTATCACAGGTCCACTTTAATAGTCTCCACTAACGGCAAGGCTGGAGTTCTGGTTGGGTGTAGGCATCTACTACTCTTCTTACTATATCACATTTTATAGTATTACTTTTGATTTTTTTTTTTTATAACACCACCTGTCTTGTTTAGACCGCTTCCCTGTTTGATTTTTAACTTAGTTTGGGAAAATGTTCCCTCTAAACCTTATTAAAGATTCTTTATCAACATTTTGCTTATTATCTGATGCAGAAGGGCACAGACTGGCTGCTGAGCTATTTTCATCTATCATTCATCTCTTGCATGAGGCTGCCTGTATCCTCACCTTCTATGTTTGAGTCTGGGAGAGTGCAACTTGTGCAATTCTTGGTACTTTCTCTGAGTCAGCTGCTGTCCCAATCACAAACACTGAAGCATGAGGGAGAGGTTGCCTAGCACAGGATAACATGACAAGTTGCAGACCTGCCTACATGCATTATGAAAAGCCTGCAGTGCTTGCTGGAAGTATCAGCAGTTCACCGATTTGGTTTTGTCTTGGTCTGGTGATTGTGTCCCTCTACCAGACATCTGATAAATACTTTCCTCTTATGATAAAATGTTCATTTATTGAACTTCCTTGTCATGTAAACAAGCGCTTTCGGGGCCACACAGGGTCCCTTCATCAGGCATCATCCTTGGTCAATGATAATGCTGATGAAGGAACCCTGTCCGGCCCCTAAATCGCTTGTTTATATGACAAGGAAGTTCAATAAATGAACATTTTGCTATACAAAGAGGATTTTGGTGTGCTGGTGACATCTACCAGTCATCCGCTCGCAGATCCTTTTCACATTTCTGTCTGTCTCTTCACACTTCCTGTTATCTGCTCTGCCCGCTTGTTGCCACATACCCATCAGATTGGCGTCATGTCTTTTCCTTTATAAAACCACCATTTCTACTTTCTCACTGACTATGAAATGTCACCTTGAAAACCCCATTTCATTGGAAATTTCATTTTAAAATAAATAAATAGCCCACATCTTTTCTTGATGTGAGATAATGTCGCCTGTGTTTAAAGTGCAACTACAGACAACTATATTTAGAGAATTGTTCATGCTATACAGGAGTCACTGCAGCTACTCTCACTCAAGTCAGAAAATCTGTTCAGTTTACGCTTATCTGTTCTGTGTTTTGCTGTGCATACATATCCAGTAGGGTTTTCATAGTGCATCTGGGTGAGACTGTAAACCTCTTGTAACAGAATTCTACTAAAAAAAAAAACAACACTTATTACAAACTGCATGAAGCTGTTTCAGACTTAATGACCATCATCAATGCAATGCTTGGAAACTATGGCTTCTATGGAAGAAAGCTTGGGGACCAACAAGGCAAACTAACCAGACAGGTAAGGAAAGGTGTGTTAGATAGATTAAATAGAGAGAGAGAGAGAGATGGATAGATGGATAGATAGATAGATAGATAGATAGATAGATAGATAGATAGATAGATAGGCAGACAGACAGATAGACAGACAGAATGAGATAGATAGATAGATAGATAGATAGGCAGACAGATAGACAGACAGAATGAGATAGATAGATAGATAGATAGATAGATAGATAGATAGATAGATAGATAGATAGATAGATAGATAGATACAGATATAGGTAGATAGATATAACGAGACAGACAGATAGATAGATAGATAGATAGATAGATAGATAGATAGATAGATAGATAGGCAGACAGACAGACAGACAGACAGAATGAGATAGATAGATAGATAGATAGATAGATAGATAGATAGATAGATAGATAGATAGATAGATAGATAGATAGGCAGATAGATAGATAGATAGATAGATAGATAGATAGGCAGACAGACAGACAGATAGATAGATAGACAGACAGAATGAGATAGATAGATAGACAGACATAGATAGATTAGACACATGCTTCTTTCATAAATTCTACCTTCCTGTACATAAACCACACAACTATACTGCTGTCTGGCCATTTGTCGCTTTCACAAACTAGTTCCTTATTCCAACATGTCAACGTGCCAAAGAAGATGAGTAATGACCTCAGCTTCCGATCTCTGGTAATCTACAGCTTCTTTAATCCTCTGTCCTCCACAATATGTAGCCTGCATTCACACCTAAACAACATGAAATTTGTGCTTTTTGTGTAGCAAGTTTTTTGCATATTTTTACGACTGTAAAACGCGCAAAAAAGTTGCGCGTTTTAATGAGCAGACTGTGGCACATTGATGTGAATAGACAAATGCGTGTTTTAAGCGCGTAAAAAATATGCAAAAACGAAGCAAAGGCGCATTTTTGAGCTTTTCCATTGAAGTCTATGGGGCCAAGAAGCACGGAATCTGCCAAAAAGAAGCTCATGTACTCTCTTCAAGCGACAGGCGTTCTTTGAAGAGAAATGCTGGAAAATTGTCGCACGAACAGTGCTTGAACCCAATCATCTCCAAACCGTGTTTGCGTAGTATGCACAGCTGTCAGAATACCAAGGTCACAGTAGAAGATTTATGAACTTACACTGTTACAGAAATCTATCAGAGATTTTTTATTCAGCCTCGCAACTTTTATCCGTGTGTACCTAGCTTAAAACTGATAAGCCGGAAAACAACTAACTATATAACTAATACACGTATATAAGTGAACTATGCCGCCAAAATACATGTTCAGTCTTGGGAGTCACATTAAGCTGGCACAATGACACCGCTATTCACTAGTGCAACTTCCGGTGACACATGCCTGCTCCATGAGCAGAAAAAAAAGAAATGCGTGGTAAAAAAAAATAGTTCTATAATAGTAGGCTGTATCTGTGCTGTACACCTGTTGTACAGGTGATCCATGGGCAAAAGGACTGATTTGCCTTTCTCCGCCCACTTACCCCACTTATTTTGAGGATTGTGATGAAAGTGAGACATGTAGGTATTGCCTTTATTAGGAAGGATCAACTGTGCTTCACACTGGTTTAGGGGAGGCTCTTTGGTTTCTTTTTGCCCACCTCACCATTACCTGCCTACCTCAATGCCAGAAATTTCTCAGTTTTGAATCTGCACTAAAAATTATTTTTGCGCTCCAGGATCTGAATCATTCCTCATTTTCGCTTTCACTGTCACGCTCTGGCGATGTTTATATACATATGGCGGCATTTTCACAATGCGAGGATATCCTATTTCCTGCTTTATTTTATTTTTATTTCACTGTGATGACATATACTCTGCAGGAATATTTGTGCTGGGAAAGTAGCACGGAAGCTGCAACTGACACCTCTGCTCGCCAGTATTAACGGATATCATTTGCACTGTAATTTGTGCACTCTCTGTAAATCTGCTGCTATTTACATCCAGTCCTTCCCCCATGGGCGTCCATGGTGCGCAACCACTGAATCCTTAAAAATGAGACTTTAAGTTTTCTAAGTTTGGAGTTATTCTTATTTTTTTCCTTTTTTTAAAAATATTCTTTGAATTTGCCTATAATGTGTATCTGAAATATGTGACTTTTAGAGCTGCAGAACCAACATTTGTGGTTTACACACTCCGACCGTCCATCCTTTCTCTCATTCCATCAGCCAATGCAGGAGTTTCCACTGTTTGCCAGATTTCAGCCATTATGCATGGAAGGCTGGAGATTTAACACAAGGGATTATACATGTACATTTATAAATCTTTCATTGAGCATATTGTCTGTTTGTAAGATCAGTTCATAAGCCCGGTATCATTTCACAAAACAGACAACCTTTTCATTGAATAAAACTTTATTATGATATTTCCTCTAACCACCAGATGCATCCACATAGCTTTGGATTTTTGCACTCCAGTGCATGTGTTATCGTAGTCTAATTGAGCAGCACTAAACCAGAGAAAACAAATCCCATGATGCAATGGGATTTTTCCCTTCTCTGCTCCTGTATGAGCAATGCCTTCAATGTGATGTAGTGAAGTTGTATGGGCCTATTTCCCACTTTCCCACTACAAGGGTAGGTGAAACTGAATGGGTTTTGTTCAGAAGATAGTGTTTTGTAGGTTTGTTTATTAGGGAGAGCACAGGTGGGAATTTATGAAAGGCGTAAGGTATGAAAAATACATAAAAATGATAAAAGTGAGCTTTAGAAAATAAAAAATGGGGTTTTGAAAAAGCTTGTCTGATTCTGTCTGGGGATAACAGATTTTACAGTGATGGTAAAAAGGCGGCACTGCATAGCGATATGGTGAGGCATTGAATGGAACCCATCTGTGGCCCCTCGGGGGTCAGGGCCCCCAATCCTTCCCTGCTGTCAGCCACGGTGACCCCGCTGATGTCATCTGTGCAGGAAAGTAGGAAATGGTGTCAAAAAACATAAAAGGGTGATCCATTGAATGAGAATAGGCAGGATGAGGACTGATGTCATTCATATTTCATCTGGGGATTTCACGCCACTGTCATGGTGGATTGTACGGAATCAGTGCTGGGTCTGGTATATGTAAATACATTTCCTTGTTTTATGTGATCTGCTTCCTGGCTGATTGTGGAGACTGTTTATAGGTTGTATATTCAGCAAATAGAGTCATTAAAAAGTGATGGCATCATAGAAGGACAAAGTGCTGTGTACCCTGCACCTCAATGGTTCCTTGTCAATTAATTTCTAAATGTTTCCAGTAGTATGTCAGCGGCTCCTAGTGAGGTTACTGACAGGTTACTATGTTAAAGACGTAAAAATGGCTTTGGCAATGTCACTGCTTCCTTGTGAATTCACTGGCTGAACCTTGCTACTAGATACAATATGACCACCATAGTTATGTCTTTTATTCATTGTTCTTTTTTTAAATTCCATTTTCCCTTTTGTCTCTGCAGATTTCTCCACCCAAGTCAATTCCACCTCCCTGAACTCTCCAGGTATTCGTGGTTCTATGACCGCGCCTCTGCTCCACCCATCCCTGAGCAGCTCCGGGATCAGCCCATCACTGGGATCGCCCACTCAACTCCACTCGCCCCTTAGTTCACCCATCAATGGAATGGGCCCACCGTTCTCCGTTATCAGCTCACCTCTGGGCCCATCAATGCCCCTCTCCTCTACCCCTGGCCTTGGGTTTGGCACCGGCAGTCCTCAGGTGAGTCTCTGACAATGCACTTGTTATTGTCATGTGGAATACTTTCAGTATAATGGATGTGCCTGACTTTCTTCATCTCAGTGGAAGTCTGTGGTGAGCTTAGACCATAAAGATGTATTAGCAGCTGTTGGAATGCCGCTGAGAAAAAACCCATCCATATCAGTTTGCATTGTCCTCTGAAAAAGGCTCACCTGTAATGTTTCTTACCTTAGTTTTTTAGAAAGTATAAAAACTGGTGCTGTTGTGGATATTAAGTGTTAAAAATATCAGCCTTTTCAGGTAATTTTTACAAGGATAATAGAATACTACTTACTGAAAATATAGAGCAGTGTCCCTTTAGAATGCTAGCTTGCCATGGTGGACTGCGGGAGTGAATGAAGCCATTTTACTTTCTGCCCAGCGAGAAGCTAGGGTGACAGGGTATCATTGAAGACATTTATCCTTTATAGAAGACATTATAAAGAGTGGATCCAGTAACAAGATCAGGTTAGATAGGATGTCATATGAGTCTGATGGAGATTTTGGTCATTCTACAAGAGACCAGTGTAATACAAAAGAGGTTGTCATGTTAGTTGGATATCAAAAGAGACTGTTGCTGTGTTCCAGGGGACTACTAGAGACTTCTGCTTTATTACAAGAGAGCGAGAGACTGATTCTGCCGAGAAAGACATTCCCTCTCTCCTGCTCATCTTGTGCCCCCTCCCTTTGGAGCGCCCCTGACCCTTCTAAAAAGAAATCCATACACTTAATTTTTGTAATGGTATCTTTGGTCTAGTCAACACAGGTCCTCTACACCCACTTTTTCTTCCAAAGGTGGGCAGATCCTAAATGCTGCAGAGAGTGGCACCATGTAATGACACAGGGCTGCTTTCTGCAGCATTTTCCAGTGAGTCCAGGGTGGTGGGTTGACCCTTGATGCCTTGGGATCACAGGAAGGCTGGGCATCATACAAGGAAGAGGGACCAGCACTGTATTGGTGAAAGGGGGGATGCATTGGAGATAGGTTGGGTTTTGAGGCCAGAGCTGCCATTTTATTTGTTCCTCATAATGAGAACTGACATTTGATATTGTTTGCCCAAGCTGGACTTTAAAATATGTTGAGCAATAGATAGGCTTTACCGCATGCACTGCCAGATACACAGACAGAATCCATCCCTCATCCTGATCCGCAGTAGTATTGCATTGCAACCAAACCTGCATCTGGATTTATCTGCCTTGTTCTACTTGAAAACCTCTCTCACCAGGGTGTGGACTCTCTGATGCTCCGCCCTCTGCGTTTCTCTAATTCAGATTTTGAATGAGGTACATAAATGTGGTCCCACTATGTTATTTCCAGGGAAGAAGTAAATTAAATGGCAGGCAAAGTTTCTGGCTCTGCTCTCATTACATTACAGTAACTATGGGAACAATTGCAGAACAGAAAGGTTTTTATGGCTTCACAGTGTCCTTCACATCATGCCAACAAATTATAAAATACCTTTTTTTTTAAGGTCTTGTAAAAAGGCAAAATAATATTTTTTTGTATAATAAATAATATAGAATATACTTGGTGGAATAACTGATCAAAAATTGCTAGGGAACATGTTGAAGATTTTGGATTCTTGGTTCAGTGTATGGCCACATCTGTTTACCATATTGCAGCAGAGTGGCTAGAAAACATCTTCAACATTGCAGTCAGTTTTCCCTGCTCTGCTCCTGCTTGGTACAGATATTAACTACAAGAAATAGTAAAAACAAATCTGTAGTTTTCTCTAACTTGCAGTTTACACGCATGACATGCTCTGCAAAATGTGTTTTTACGCACAGTGTCACTATGGGGTGCATATTATTTTTATCACAACACTGGAACACATTTAAGCCCTTGATTAGGCGGTGATGTTGGTGTGTGCTGAACTGGACGCTGTCTTTTACACCACAGCTCTCTTATTACATTCCCCATGGTAAGAGTGCAGCAAATTCAGATATGGCTTCTACTTATAAGAATGCACCAGTTTTCCAGGAACCAACAAGGCAGTGGAAGTAGGTTATCTCTACTGAATTAAAAGGTTAGTAGTAAACAGAATGGCTTCTTCCTGGGATTTGTAATGACAGGTACACTTTGATGGACTCTTGAATAAAACCTTAGCCGGCCATCGACAGGGTTAATGGACCTGCACACTGCTTTTCTCCCCAGAGAGGAGGGGGGATCCGGAGGAAAGATTATCTAAATATCTAAATCCCCTACTTCTCCTCCCCCCGGAGGTAAAGAGATTACGCTATATTAAGCAACAGGGAGACACCAGCTGATCTGCACCTGCTGCTCGCCGTCCAGATGCTGGCACCGCATAGCCGCCGCTCAGGAGCTTAATAATTCTTCAGCACTGTGCCAGGCCACTCAGACGCCAACAACGAGTTGTAAATAACAGATTTATCTTTCATGATGTGTTGATTAGCCCAAAATGAATATGGCACCCACAGAGCAAAGACTTACAGCTCAGCATCACTAGCAAGATACTTTATCCAGATGCTGCCAGGCCATACATTGTGGCCGGAAATGCATGCATTGTCCAACCATTGAACAATCTTTTTACAATGATTGCTGCATGTGTATGTGTTGTCAGTGGGCATCGTGCATGCTATAGCCAGTAGAGGTGGGAGCAGCTAAATGTCAACCTATTTCAACTTATTATTACAAACAGTAGCAGTTGGCAGGGGACATCCATTCTGGCCAATCACTCCCTTCTGAGTCTAGATGTTGTCAGATGTCACAAAGGTCTACAGACATACAAATCTTCCACCCGTGTGGGGAAAGTTCTCTTATATCTGTAAGAAGAGAGAGCCTTCAGTTATAGAACTCTAGCATAAATGGCCCACCTTCAAAGGGCACACCATGTTTAAGTGGTGGAAGGGGGTGCCATTTGGGCTGTGCTGGTGAAAATTAGACTGTTTATGTGGTGATATTGATAATGTCTCATTAAACATTCAGCCTATCAAAATGAGATATCTAGGTGGAGGGGTGAGCCAAGTCACATACTGCCCTTCTTTTTGGATGGGGGGAGAGGGTGTTTGATTGGTGAGATCTTTAGGCTATTATTCCTAATATAAAATACCTACAAGTGCAGCAGAGATGGTGGAGACTCATAATTCCACAGCAGGTGTGCAGACCTTGGAACTCAACACAGAGATGTCATGAATAGAGTCCCAGTTAGTTATAAGAAACTTTTAGGGGGTTGTACAAATATAAGTTGTGGATTGGGGACCATTTTAGTCAGTATAGCTCTCGGGCTCCAATAATTTTTTTTTTTTTTGTATATCTCAACGGATCCTCAGTGTTACCAAACTGTCTTTTTTTCATAGACAGACTTAAGTGATTAAAAAGACCAAGCCAATAAGAACTGTTCATCCCTGTTACGGCCAGCCATATGTGTCTAGAGAGCATTAGCAGTGACAGACACCTGAGCCCAGCAAAAGACAGCACAGAGGCCGTGGACACTATCAGGGATCGGAAAGATTTTAATGGGGGCTCCTCTTGTCTTCGACTGACTAGATTAAGTTGCTCACTTGCTGTCTTACTTTGTGCCGGAGCTGAAAAGAGTTGCATGTTTAGGTCTCCTTACCATTACATATGCTCAGTCAGCTTTCCGAGCAAGAAAGTGGTGACTTTGCTTGGGCACTCCATGGCACCATGAAACATTAGCCCACAGGTGAGCAATATGCAGTAACCTGGCTGGTTTCCAGTACTCTTTCCCTCTGCCGAAGTGACGGAAAGCTTAATGTAAGCTTGTCTGTTTTATTTACTTTGCACTGGGAAGAAATAGAAGAATAGAAGACAACAAAGATGTAAAGGAATCTGATGGAGCATCCCCTCCCTACCTGGCAAGAGGATGTACTCCAGCGCCCTCTCTGGACATGTGGTGGTAATACAACCTTTGCTGCTTTTAGTTGCCTGCTGTCTTGCATTTCTAGGGACACTTTAAGATTGTGAAAGTTTTCCCTGACATCATCTCTGGTTTCTTATCTTACAGATTGCACTATAATATCCAGCCCTCACTTTAAGGCACATAACTATTTTTACGATGCTTTATGTGGGCTTTTTGTTTTAACACCAATGTAGCTTTTGTGGTCAGTTTTAATGTTACTTTCATGTTTGTTTGTCAGAAAATGTTAACACCTGCTCAGGTAAAAAAAACTATTGCAAGATGAGCATCCTTGAGCTTGTGGAGTTTTCATTCAGTCTGGGCTGACTGTGAGACTTGCACTTAGAGGACCAAAATGGCTGGGGCAACAATGGCAATTGAAACATTTCTCATTGTCAGTATTCCTATTTACAACACATTAAAATGAATGTGCTACTAATGAGATGATGAGCAACAAGGAGTTGGAAAAAGAGATTCAGGCTGGATTTATTCATTGCAGTAACACAGAGACCACTATGTCTTTTAATGCCATCAATTTTGAAACTCACGCTGTTACAGTGTCAGGCAACTCACCTGCACTGCATGGCACTACAACATACATGCTGTGTGTTGTGCTGCATTAAACGAAAAAAACAATGAGTCAGGCCCAATTTTTGGCCCAATACCATGTTTTGCCAGCCAGTTCATAATGAATGGGTTGCCTTGATGCAACTCGCAACATAACACATGCCCGTTAACGCCCCACAATGGCCCTGAATGTAGTCGAAGACTTAGACCCCATTCACACTAGGGTGCGATTAGGTGCTTATACTGTATATGCGTTTGTAATGGTTTTCCAAATGCATATAAATGCATCTAATGCTTTCCAATGGATCCATTCACACCTTGCTTTTAGATACATTCAGTTTAGCTGCATTTAGGAAAATTAAAAGTCAGGTGCGTCAAGGAAACAATTTTAGCCTCTAAATGCACCAAAATGCAAGACACGTCTATTTGCTGAAATCCCATGAGCTACTTTGGACTGTTTAAATGGACAAAGGACAGATGCACCTAAAAGTATATGAATGTAAACTCGTCATGTTAAGCATCTAGAAGCATAAAAAAGCATCTAGCCTGACAGATTTTGCAGACAGATCTTTGCATAAAAACTCAAGTGGACAGCGTAAATGAGGGCTTGGCTTTTTTTACAGTCATGCTTTATCATGCGCTGGCGTTGTCATCAATAGTGAGTAAAATGTGCATTGATGCATTAATAAATGCCACAACGCATAACACTGGTGTGAAATAGCACCATTTAAAACAATGATTTGTTTACATAAATGTTTACATAGAGTACGTACATACGTTGCATACGAGCCTATGGCTCCTCTGCCCTCAGTACCCTCCCCCACAACCAGGAAGTTAGGGGAACCCCGAGTATCTTTCCAGTCGCAGCAAAGGATATAAGCGGCCACAGTTAAGTGTGGGGGGGATGGGGTTTTTTAGAAAAGTCCTGGGTGTTTTTTTGCCTTAAAGTAGAGAATGCATTAAGGTAAACAGCACATAGCCTTTAGTATTGGTTTAAAACCTGTGGAAAAAACGACATACATATACTGACACTGTACACATATACACATGTATACATGCTGATATGAAACACACAGAAACATTAACACACATATTAACATTACTCACAGAAATCCTGACAATACACACACACACAAACCATCATAAAAAAATACTGACATTGCATACAAAGAAACCATCACAAACACATATACTGACATTATTAAACACACGCAAGCAATAATAATGGTACCCTATATAGTTACATTTTGTTTTGAAGTATGACATTTTATGAAATTTGGCAAGTGGCCCCCATGAGGGAAGAATATTTGTCCAGTGGCCCCCAAGTGAATTGAGTTTGAGACCCTTTGCCTAGAGTTTGTTATCCGGTACAGCAATGTCAATGGCATGCTGTAACACCTGAAGCTCCTTCACAATAAGCTAGCAAATTTGGTTGCTTTTATTTGATTTTAAGGGTACACTCTCGCTCTGGCCACACACGTCTTGCTGCACTGACATCTCCACTGGGACCCCCCCCCCCCCAAAAAAAAAAAATTGGAGAAATAGGGGTGTGTGATCCTGAATGTGTTTAACCTGGTTATGAAAATAGCAAGAAAAAAATGAATGTGGGCTGCCATTGCTCTTCTCTATCTACAAATGCTAGCTGCTTTGCTGTTCCTGACCCCAACCAAGCATGCAGCCAGTGAAATGAGAGGAAACTCCGAACTCCCAGCCTGCATAGGTTTTTTGGATTAGTGTATTTGAATGTTTTGAAGCCTTTGAATCAGCCTGGCAACTACTATTTTAAAAAGCAGAGTTTAACATGGCAGCCCCATATTAGAAGTTTCTTTTAGGTGGCTACAAAATGGCAACTTGATTAATGCATATAGATTATTTAAATTTTGTAATTGTTGGATACATTTTTAAACCGTTTTTATTAATATTAGAACTGAATATTTGTTTTAATGTAGTTATTATAGGTGGGGATAGTTGGATATATTTCCATCACCCTGATATCTGTCTATCCACCCTACCTTTCTGTTTGTGTCTCTCAGATTGGTTCCCCGGCCCTGGCACAGTCATCTGTGATTTTTCACCCGCTTTGTCAAATAAAGCACTTTAGCTCCAGTTCGGGTCAATCACCATGTAAAGCCATTTGTCTTTTCACTCGCGGTTGATTTCTTGCTCCATCCGGTCGTTTGATGTTGCCGCTTTGCCTGCCAGCCTGTTGGTCAGGCAGATTAGGCGAAGAGTTTGTGTTACACTCGGGTGCTCTCTGCTTACATCTCCTCCATTGTTTCTCTCCAGTGGGTGTTAAAGTTTAAATGCTCTCAGATCCCCCAACAAGGGGAAACCTTCTCTGCAGTCCACTATTAAACCCGAGAGCTCTACGCCTTGCACTGCACTAGCCCAATCACCAACTGTATTCTTACAGGTAAACAAAAACCACCAGGCAATGGAAACTATATCAGTTACATACAAAAATGTGCTAGGTGAGGACAGACATTTCTTACTGATAACTGTCATCTCTGTCCCGTACTGATCTCCTTAAAGTGTATGTATTTTTTAGTTTTGGAGGGAGTAGGATTAGAACCCTGTCAAGTTTTTATTGCTGTGTCCCTCCACTGGGTAGGTTCATCATCCTAATTGTCCTGGTGACCATTGTCTCTAGTACATAAAGTAATTGGAAAGCCAAATATTTTAACAAAAGAAGAGGGGAAATCTTCTAAAAGGGATACCTGTTCTGGTGACAACTGTCTTAGGGTAACTTCACACCAGCAGCCGCATTCAGCTGCAGGGCTGCTCTTGTATGTGTCCCGGACAGTGCCGATGCGCTCGATCGAGCTGCATCGCACTGTTATTTTTTTGTAGAACTTTATTGAAATGTCACAAGTGACATTTCATTCAGTTCTATGGGCCTCACTGTGGTGCACTTAAAGAAAGTACTGCATGTCGTACCTTTTTAGGCGCACACCAACGGAACACAGTGGTGTGAACTGAGCCCATCCATGACAAGACAAATTGCCATGTCTTGTGTTCGGGCTGCACTGGAAAAAACAGCCAGAGCAGCCCTAGCGCAGATGGGGTGAACCCGCCCCTAGAGGGGAACTCTCTCACTTCCTGTTGCATCTGTGTGACAGAAAGAAAAGGGAAATTTCCCTACTGGACCATAGACACCAAAAAAAATAAACAGCCAAGGATTTTTACCATTCACTACAGTTTCCAAGACTAAGACGTTTTTTGGCTACACATTTTATATAGAGTTTTTATTAATGGAACTTTTCTATTTTTAACTATTTTTTTTCCATATAGTTTCTTTTTGACTTGGGACTCACTCAGCTAAATTGTGCTGGCAGCTGAGTTGTGAAGTGGTGAAACAGATGAGAGATGACTAAGATCACAAAGAGAATTCTATTATTAATATATGTTTTTGTATATGGTATACAGTATTTGTTCTATGGTGTTCTGTGGTGAGATAACAGACATATTGATGGTGTGTCAGGCTTGTCGTATGTTATTTAGATTGGACTGGGCCATTTCTAGATGAGGATCAGAGTATACCAGACTTTGTTTCCTCATGACATAGTTTAACAGTGTTCTTCACCGTGCCGAAAGCAGTGAATAATGTTGCATCCATAATACACATTAAAATATGTTTGTTCTTAAATAGCATCATTTTAATGAATTGGTTCAAATTTGTTCATGGATGTTTTGACATTTTAGTTGTGAATAGAGTCTGGTGGTTTGTCTCAGGGATAGCTGCCCACTGCTATCCCATCTCTGCCCTTCTCTGTCATGGTTTTAAAGTGAACCTGTGTTGATAACGAAAGACCTTGGAGAAGCATGCAACCAGTGCCATCTGAAGATACTGAATTGTTTGTTCGAAATCAGTGACTTCCTAGGTAGTGAATCAAGGATGAAAGTGACAGGCCTGAGACTGCAACTTAAAAACAAGCCGGTTATATTTATATCCTCACAGGTTCACTAAGATTCCAAACATATGACTTGACTCCTGTCCTGCCATTTTTGGTAAAGTCAGGACTTGAAAGGCATCTAATGTTGGCAGAATCATTCCTGTGTGAATCTCGTGTCTGTGGGCAGCTTAGCCGCTTCTGTTGCATTGTCCATGCAGTGAAATAAATGTATATTTAGTAGAAAGAATGGGATTCTATTCCTAGTGACTGCATCAGACACTGGGAACTCACCACTATAGTCCTCAAAAGATAGGATTCTGTCTGCTTAAATCCTCCCATATCTAAAATCTTTTTTGTTTAACCATATTCAATAACTGTGAATCTTAACTGATAACCATTCTACTTATTTTGCAGCTCCATTCCCCCATGAACTCGGTAACCAGCTCGGAGGACATCAAACCACCTCCAGGAATCAACGGTGTCCTGAAAATGCCAGCACATCCCTCCGGCCCCATGGCAGCCTTCACCAAACACATCTGCGCCATCTGTGGGGACAGATCATCAGGTAAATCATCCTCTCTTTATTTCATACAATGGAATACATCCATGGGCTATATGATAATGGAGGACCCTTGGGCTAAAGGATGATGGAGAAACCCTGGAGCATGATGGAGAACCAATGAGCTATAAGATGATGGACAGCCTATGGCAGGGGTGGCAAACTCCGGCCCTCCAGCTGTTGTGGAACTACAAGTCCCTTGAGGCTTTGCAAGATTCTCACAGCCACGGGCACGACTCGCAGAGGCAGATGCATCATGGGATTTGTAGTTTCACCACAGCTGGAGGGCCTGAGTTTGCCACCCCTGGCCTATGGGCTATGGATGATAAATAAAACATGGCCCATATAATGATGGAGAACCCATGAACTATAGCATGATAGAGAACCAATGGGCTATAGGATAATATTGAATTACAGGAAGAAGAAGAACCCATGGGGCTATGGAATGATAGAGAATCCATGAGCTATGTGATGATGATGATGGGGAACCCATGGACTATATTAGATGTATACATTCTCTCCTTATTCCTTTGCACTGCTGTCTATGAGGCTGATATTTGATTGGCTGTGGATTGCTGTAGCTTTTTCCTGCTTGTTTACATCTGAAAGCTGAACTATTCAGTGCTGTTGTATTAGAAGGGTGTGTGGGCCACCCATCAGATCTTGCTGACTGTTGGGTACCCTGCTGCAGTGGATGAATGCAGTAGGTTCTTCTAAAAGAACTCCACCGTTTTTCATTATGGAAGCGCTGGAAAGCTGAAGGTTATTTGCATTTAACACTTTGTTTAGCCGTGCTTTAAAGCCTGATGTTTGCAGGACATGAGATCCTCACCTCTTCAATGCCGCTATGTCTAAAAGGCATGCTGTAGTTGCAGTGCAGTGTAGTGCAGGACACCCACATTGCTCTGTGTGGCTTCGGATAATACAGTCTATTTTTTCTAGTCATTGTTTTTCTCATACCTCAGAATCTGTTAGTGCAGCGAGCTGCTTTTAGTCATGTCCCACTTTGCGAGGACACTCCGAACAGTTATCTATGCTGGAGTGAAAACTGACTGATCTGTACTGTAAACAATTGCGTTATCTGGCCTCCCTGCAAGGGGCTGATCAGCTTTAGACTTCAGACTGTTTCATCTGCTTCTCTTTTGATGACATCTTGAAAAGCCTGTCGTGTGTTGCTCTGGGAGTTGCGGCGCGGAGCACACTGAGAAGGCCAGGAACGTTTTTTTTCCCCAAAATGTCTGTCTCCGGCGTGTCTGGCGTGTGGTTAGGAAGATGGAGCTCGAGTGTCTATTGTTGTGAGTTCCTTCAGCTTGTCAGGAAGCAGATGTGACCCTCAGAGAACTCAGCGAGGGCTGGAAAGTGAAACAGTTGGGTCGGTGGTCGGGCAAAGTGGGGAAGAGTTAATATTAATAGAAAAGCGAAAAGGTGACGTCCGCAGGTTTCTCTCCATTTTAGCTTCAGAACTGGAAGACAGAGTTAATAAGCTGCAATCTCACTTACGGGTCTCAGAGCACTAATATTAACACCCAAATCCAAATGAATATCAAAAATGTTAAAGCTTATATAAACCTCATTTACAGGGTTATTCACAAAAGGGTGAAGAGAGTGGAGAAGCAGAAGCGAACAATCTAGGCCAAAATTTCTGATTTGGAAAAATTCTCCAATTCAGCTCCCTTTCTAGTTCAGCTATGTTGTCCTAGATCAGGGGTCTGAAAGTACCGGCCCGCGAGTCAGTACTCTGTTGCCTGCAGCCAGCTGACAAGTCAGGCAAGTGGTCACGGACCGTGTACCTGACTTGCGGGATCAGCTACATGTTCTGCATCTCTGTCGGATGCAGACCGCATAGCTGCTTCTCTGTGCCGGCACTCGGATCCTTTTGGCCAGTGCTCTGAAATCCTTTAGTGAATGCTGGCGAAAGGATGGATTAGTAAGGTCTGTACCTGACATTACTAATCAACCACTGGATCACCAGGAATCTTGCCTCCTGCCTGCAAAAAGGTAAGCAGGGGAGGGGGCTCTTTATTTTATTTTACATGTGTGTGTGTGCAAGGTGCAGGGACCGGGGTTGTATTATTTTATATGTGCAGGGGGGGTGTATTATTTTATATGTGCAGGGGTAGTATTGTTTTTATGTGTGTGGGGGGTGGGGGTAGTGTATATTTTTTATGTGTATGGGTGGAGTGTATTAGGCTCCATTTTATATCTGTAAGTTTAGGTGCGATTAGGGATTCCTGTGTCAGGAACGTGCATTTTCCTGCAGCAGGAATCCCTAATCTGGCTTTTACAAGCGGCAACTGTCACCCATTCAAGATAATGATCAGGTTACAGCCGCTGCATGTAAACGCCTGCACACCGCATGTAATGGTATGTGATATGATTACATGTGGTTAAGAATCAATCACTATCCCCGGACGCATCGATTGAGCATCCAGGGGGAGTGTTTTCTAACCGCATGTAACATACCATTACATGCGGTGTGCAGGCGTTTACATGCAACGGCTGTCACCTGATCATTATCTTGAATGGGTGACAGTTGCCGCTTGTAAAAGCCAGATTAGGGATTCCTGACAAAGAAAATTTACAGTTATGAATGGGGCCTTATTGTGAGTATATTAGTCTGTAGTACCATACCGGATATAGTTCAATTGTATCTTTAAGTATGAAATTTGGCAAGCAGCCCCCATGGGAGGAAAAAATGTAACAAGCGCCCCCTGATTGAATTGAGTTTGAGATCCCTGTCCAAGATTGTTTACTTCTTCTTATCAGTCCTAAGATGTGGTGGAAAATGTTCTTAGCCTGAGGAAAGAAAACTAATGCAGCCACCACATCTAAGGAAAGGTAATCCACAATGCATTACATTTTTGTTTCTGGGTTTAGTTATCGTTTAATGTCAGATTCCCTATGTAGTGCATGGTGGCTTTCCACTGTGTGCCAACCTCAGCAAGTGAATCTTATTATGAAGTCCCAAGTACTCACTAACCTTTATATCAGGGCCAAGCTGGCCATACTCATCAGTTCTGCCACAATATGTTTTGCTTTTGATCAGAATTTTTAGGCGTGTTTAGGATCGTTTTTTTTCAGTCTCCCAGTCCAAATTACATTGGGTTTCAATAAATCTTCATTTGAGTAATTATTTTTTTTATGTACCGTAAAAACTGTTAAATTGATCAAATAAGTGCTACAGCACCATCAATCAGAAAATAATTCAGCCTGTGCAATGGTTTTATATTTATTCAACTGCGAAAAAATTGATTGACGGTGACTGAAATATTTCTTCATAGATGTGGTCAACAACTGGATTGTGAGACGATTGGATTAAAATGTGCATGGGCATCTTTAGAGTCGGGATTGTGAAAGGAGTTAAACACAGAGCTCCTACAAAGAGGAGTTAGCCAGCTGCAGTATAATAGTCTTTATTGAATTCCCTGACACTGGAGCATCTATCCACATTGATGCTGTGATCCTGCACTTTATTGGCTCTATTGTAGGAGTATAAAAAGATAAGCGCCAGTGTATTTCCACTCTGTCATGTTTTGAATCAGTATTGTGACTCATCCCTGAAACTAATTTTTCATGTGACTTTGGCATTTTACATGCTTGCTGTTTTATTTTTTCATGATTGTCATTTACAAGCATATTTGTAGATACATTCTTGATATCAGACAGTAAAGTCAGAATGCCTCTAATTTCTGTGGAGGGACCATTCCCACTGGTATGTCCAGGGGCGTTACTGCATGCATTTTAATACACGTTGAGTTGAGGCAGCCCACTCATTGCACTGGTTGACATTGCATTTTTTTTTTCTGATGCAGCGCATTGCAACGCACGGTAGTGCTGTCGTGGAGCATTGCAAACCATGTTTGACGGAAGTGTGTTGTGTTCCTTTGAAAATCAATGCAAACTAACTGCAAAGCAATGCAAACAGATCAGGAGAGTGGCGAATCATCTCAGAAATGGGGGGTGTAGGGTCACTGGTATTTATATCACCAATTACATTTCTTAGGCCAGCGGAGGGCTTATTAGTCATACTTCTATCCATTGTAGGCCCAGTATTGCTGTCACTACCAGAAGGAACAAGCCCTCTGACATAACAATGAGCCATCAGTAAACATTAGTAGGATTTATTACGTGATTACTGCGAGGATGCAAATTGAATTTGTAGCAATTGGATTTTATTGTAAACCTTCCATTGATTCCGTATCGCACACTCACTGCAACAAGCTTGTCGATCGGCTGTTCTCTTCCAGGGCGTTTGTTATTGTTTTCTCACTGGTCAATAACTCAACAGCTTCATTTACTGGCTTTCACATTAAAGGAGGACAAGCAAAAAATAGTAGCTATGTTATCCATAACAATGGACTACCTTTTGCAGCAACTGGAAGTTATAGTCACACCTGAAAAAAAAAATCTCAATCCAATTTGTTTTTAAAAAAAGTTTAAAAATTTGTTTTTTACCTCGGTCACTTAATTGTTATCTATCTTCAGAATAACTGACTACAGCTTAGTCATCTGGTTTTCTTTAAGGAGACCCTGCTAGAGAAAATGTAGTATACTCACCTCTCAGATGACCTGTGTCTCCTACCTCCCCTCAATTCCAGCACTGCAGCCTCATTCAGTGTCTTCGACAGTCTACTCTTTCAGGAGTGTCAGATGCCTGTGTCACCCACTGCATGCCGTTTCACATTTCCCAACCCCTATGTTTCTGCTGTGTCCTTTAGTGATTTAGGGGTTGGAAGATTGACCACAGATCTGCAGGGACACAGGCTTCCAACACTGCTTGAGGTGGCAAATGCTGGAGACACTGATGGAGGCTGCAGCACTGGAATGGAGGGGATGCCATCTATCTGTGCCTAATATTGCTGTATAAATCTTGTTACTGTATATAATATATAATACATGTGGTTTCAGTCATGTTTACTCATTACATGTTCAGATGATTGTGCTGATCTGTTACGTGTTATCAGTTCCAGTCTCCCGGTCTGCCCCATCAAAATATGGATCAGCACATATTTACGAATGCAAACGTCACAGACAAACAGTTAACAACTCCATTGTACTGTGAAATCATTGAACATACTTGATGAGTTCCTATTAAACCCCAACTCCAGACAATTTTTTTGTTTTAGTGTTGGATAGATTAGCGAATGGTTAGAACCCCTGTCAACTATTTATTGCTGTCTGTGTCATTGTTTGGTAGGTTTTCCCCTCACTTCCTGTCTGCTTGATGGGAGACAGGAAGAGAGGGAAGAAATAATATAATTTGGCTGAGGTTGGTCTATAACAAGTGTGAGCCAGAATGTGATCTGCATGTATAATTGTAGTGAGAGACAGGTTAGAGGCAATTGTGCTGACTGCTCTGCTATCCTCTCCTCTGCCAGGTAAACACTATGGAGTCTACAGCTGTGAGGGCTGCAAGGGTTTCTTTAAGAGGACAGTTCGGAAGGACCTCACCTACACCTGCAGGGACAGCAAGGACTGCTTGATCGACAAGAGACAACGCAATCGCTGCCAGTACTGCCGCTACCAGAAGTGCCTGGCCATGGGCATGAAGCGAGAAGGTAAAGCCCCTTCTGCCTTCTAATAACAGATTTTAAAGTGTAACTTCAGTTTTGTAAAGAACATTTAGAGCCCAGTGGGAGAGAGTTCTTTGGGGAATGCAGCTCGGGGACTCATACAAAGCATCTAATTGGATGGCATTGCTACAGTATTTCATGGCACATGTGGATGGGGTAGACTTCCCTCTTGGCAAACTTCAGCAGCTGCCATGGTTTAGGCTTGAAGCTTACACAGTTATTAGATGGAAGGTGTAAATCTACCATGAACTGTGTTATAAACCCTGTCGTATATACAGCCAGCATTAACTGAGGTGCGGAAACTGTATTTTTAAAGAATCTGTTTTGTTTTGATTATTTATTTATTTTTTGCAAATTGAAGTGTCACTTTAACAATTGTTATGAATGTGTAAATTATTTCTGTGTTACTGAGAAGTTTTGAATCCGTTATTCTGCTGTCGCTGTTGGAAGACCAAACTGAATGCTGTGTGTATATATTGTCACCTCCACCATAACTATGTGCGTAGAGATGGTTTATCAATGACAAGCAGTCTTTAATTGTCTTTCTATATAACACTGCATACATAACACATACATTGAATTGGGTTTCCTTATTGCTGGGGGTTTCAGTATTGTCTTGCAGGGTCAGCCTACTCAAAACCTTTTTATTCTGGTATTTCACTCTTTGCTTCGTCTCTGGCATATAGAATCATTCACATCAGTCTGTACAAGAGGAGCTTACACTCTATAACGTTCCACCACAGTGCCACACTATTAATATCTTGACATTTCTATAGCTCTGACATATTCTGCAGTGCTGTACTGAGAACATTCAACCATTCACAACTGTTTTTACACTAGAGGAGCTTACACTCTAATGTCCCACCACTATTATTATTTTCACATTTGTATAACTATGATTTATTTTGTAGTGAACTGTTCACACCAGTCTCTGCAACATAGGAGCTTACACTCTAATGTCCCATCACACACTGTAATGTTATACATTTATATAGCTTTGCCAAAAAAGAGTTTTTGAAGGAAGTGTCTGTGCAGATGCAAAACAAACTGATTTCTTCGTAATGTTGGAATTAGGACCATAACCTTCCTCCATAGGGTTGATGTGACAATGTACATCCCAAAATGTCTCATTTCATAGCGCCCATATGCTCATTCACAGTCATTGTCGATTTCACAGTGTCTATCCGCAAACAGCACCAGCGGAACATCTTAATCGCTGCTTCTGTATAGTCAGCACGTAGCGCCCAGATTCCTATAATGAGCAGAAAATAAAAGCTGCAGTGATCTGATGTCTCTTTTGAAGCTCTGTGGAGGGGATGAAGGGATGTCAGTTAGTGTACAATTGTCTGAAAAGTTGTGGAATGTTGGATCACCAGGTGAAAATAAACGAAAAAAGAAAACGAGTGCAGCCACCACATTTAACCCTTTAATGGAAGCGATTCTGGCGGCTTGGCTGCCGCCAGATCGCTCCTATGGGCCATTAAAGTGCCCCCCCCTGCCAACACCCCTGCCGTGTTTTCCAGGCTCTGCTGCCCCCCCTAGGGCCAATATTTATGCGTATCTCTAAACTGATGACCTGTAGGGGGTTTTAAAGCGTCATCTATGGACTTTTTGGGGTACTGAATTTTGTCATTGTTTCACTCGTCGTAACCTCATCTTTTATATTTTACAGAACAAAAGGTATTTTATTGTGATTTGGGGCACTACAATTAACTTAAGTGCATTTTTCACTAAATTTTGGGGTTTAATAAAGAGTTGCGCCAATATCGTGCAACATAAAAATACAGGATGTTGGCTTCCAGAAAAAAATATACAGTAGGGAATTTATCAACACTGGAGCAGACAAAATCTGGAGCAGATTTGCACGGCAACCAATCAGCTTCTATTTCTCATTTCTAAATACTTAACTGAGCAAACTGAAGAGAGACCCTGATTGGTTGTGATGGTCAACTGCTCCAGTTTCTGTCTGCTCCAGTTTTGACAAATCCCCCCCAATAATGTTTTGGGGGTTTAATGTAATATTCAGTGCAAAAAATTAAGAAGAAAAAAAAAGGCCTTGGCATCGAAAGGGTTAAGTATTGGTAAGCTGCGATATAACATGTTTGTTTTCGGAGTTTAGGTTTGCTTTAACACACAGAGCTGCACACGAGGGTGGGGTGCCGGACAGGGACGAGTCAGCAGGTCTGGTCTGAAATTCAAAAAGTGTATGGCCAGCTACAGGGAACCCCCCCCCTTTCCACACACATATATACTCCATATATGACATGCAGGAAATGACAGGTAAAATACGTGTCAAAGGAAAGCCCTGGTGCTCCACAACACATAAACGGCAGTAAAACACATCTATAATGCACTCATATTGAGGCTGAGTGTGGAGCTTCATTGCTGATGTGTGCAGAGGGATGCAATGGATGTGTCCACAGATTGGAGGTCAGGAGAGGTCACATACTGGCTTCTGGGTGTCAGCTGGGTTAAGTGGTGGAGATTTATGTGTGTGAGGCTGTGTCTACAGAACGTGCCTGAAATACAATGTGTCACCCCTGCTAATATGGAGGATTTATCCTGCTACATCTTCTTTGTTCCCTCCATGAAGTGATCAGATGTCACCGTCCTCACAAAGCTGCCTTTGCTGGGAACAATTACCAAGCAATTTAATTTCATAAAATTTTTGATTAAAGAGAATCTGTCAGAAATGAAGAAACACCACAGTGTGGCAGAGCAGACTGAAACAATGCAGAAATCACTTTAATTATTTAGTTTCCTGTCTGCATTGCCAAGTAACCAACAGTGGAAACTCATCAGCATGTCGCACTGTACATGATGAGGAGGAGATCATGGAAAATGTGGAGTTACTCCTTTAAAGAAGTCCTAGCATATCCTATCCTGTTATAACATCAGCATTGTAATAGGAATACATGCGAGAGTTGTTTGTGATAATGCAATCAAAGCTTAGTTGAAAAATCTCTTTTATGTAGTGAGCACTGCTGTCTGTCTGTCCATCACTTTCAACGACTTCCTGGATCCCCAGTGAGCTTCGTATCTCTTTTCTTGCTGCTTGCTCTATTTCTCAAGACTACATATCCCATCATGCATTGCTTCCAGCAAGCAATGATGATGGTGCATTGTGGGTGTTTCCTGTGTTCACTGCGAGAGGGGGAAAGAGTTGAGTTGCTGTTAGGACAGCAGGCTCTGAGTGGTGACACAAGGACGTGCTTATTCACAGGGCTGAGTGAAATTGTGTCAGTGCATTGAGGACGTATATCCAATGTGCATCTTCAATAAGTAAGTTTACAAACTTCTAGATGGATATGGTTATTAGGAGTGGGATAGAACTTATAGAAATATATATTTAGTTTTTGACCATAGATACCTTTTTAATATGTGTACATGAAAATGTTCACCGCAAGCTGGAAATAAAAAAAAACCCCTGTGCCCGCAATCGATCACATTGTGAAACGCATGTCTCGCTGCGCTGAATGTCCTCATAACATAACGACACAGACAAGAACATTGGATATTACAGGATAAAAAGAGACCACGGTACAGCTTCATTCCCCAGGGCGGCTGAGCGCAGCGGCAACAAAGATCGACAAATTGTTATTTTTTTTTCTCCAAGAACGCAGACGAAACAGCCATTTCTGTCGCCTTTGGTGCATCCGTTTCTGTTGGCCGCATGAGGCGAAACTCTATTAGCATCGCCGGGACAAAATGATCTTCTAAGCGCAGGGCCCACACAAAGACAGTCGGGTGATTACAGCATTCAGACAGTCGATATTACTCACGCTGCCCCATAAAACGTAGAACTCGGGGTCAGCAGAGAGATTGGGCGGCCGTAATTGGATGAGTCGTCGGCATCACACAGCCGCACGTTTGTGGAAAACAAAAGCACAGGAGATAATTCCGGCTTTTATTAGCTGGATCGGTCTCATTTTCACCCGCAGCCACATACATCAGTTTGAGGTTAATTGTTTAATGGCTCATTGGGGCGAGGGCTGAGGCCACGGGAGGAGTGACGCTGACACTCGTCACAGAAAGTTTGCTGGAAGATGTCACTCGTGAGGCCAGGTTCAATTGTGCTGTCTGTCAGGGTCTGGAAAATGAAAATGCGGATATTTTATATATGGAATACAGACAAGCCGGAGATGAGTTTTTCTGGAAGAATTTATTGCATCTGGCACAATTTAATTTATTACATTAAACCACATTTGACTGCAGTTCTATTTTTCCTGATTAGTGTTTAAGGCCGTCTGCGTAATTTTAGAGACGTTTATTTTATTACAAAAAAGACTCAATTTAGACATGAAAGTTATGTTTTACTGTTTGCTGTTTCTTATTTTATAATTCCCCCCCACACACACACATACTCCATATATGACATGCAGGAAATGACAGGTAAAATACGTGTCAAAGGAAAGCCCTGGTGCTCCACAACACATAAACGGCAGTAAAACACATCTATAATGCACTCATATTGAGGCTGAGTGTGGAGCTTCATTGCTGATGTGTGCAGAGGGATGCAATGGATGTGTCCACAGATTGGAGGTCAGGAGAGGTCACATACTGGCTTCTGGGTGTCAGCTGGGTTAAGTGGTGGAGATTTATGTGTGTGAGGCTGTGTCTACAGAACGTGCCTGAAATACAATGTGTCACCCCTGCTAATATGGAGGATTTATCCTGCTACATCTTCTTTGTTCCCTCCATGAAGTGATCAGATGTCACCGTCCTCACAAAGCTGCCTTTGCTGGGAACAATTACCAAGCAATTTAATTTCATAAAATTTTTGATTAAAGAGAATCTGTCAGAAATGAAGAAACACCACAGTGTGGCAGAGCAGACTGAAACAATGCAGAAATCACTTTAATTATTTAGTTTCCTGTCTGCATTGCCAAGTAACCAACAGTGGAAACTCATCAGCATGTCGCACTGTACATGATGAGGAGGAGATCATGGAAAATGTGGAGTTACTCCTTTAAAGAAGTCCTAGC